ACAGGGCTACAGGGGATACTCTGATGTCTGACAGGACTACAGGGGATACTCTGATGTCTTACAGGGCTACAGGGGATACTCTGATGTCTGACAGGACTACAGGGGATACTCTGATGTCTTACAGGGCTACAGGGGATACTCTGATGTCTGACAGGACTACAGGGGATACTCTGATGTCTTACAGGGCTACAGGGGATACTCTGATGTCTGACAGGACTACAGGGGATACTCTGATGTCTTACAGGGCTACAGGGGATACTCTGATGTCTGTACCCCCATGCCTGGTGTAAACATTACTGTTAGCCATTTTGGTATACACCAACTATCATACTTACTGTCCTTTCCTCCCTTGTCTTTATCCTTCCCACCTTTGTCTTTATCTTTTCCTCCTTTTTCTTCAAAACAGTACATGAAAGTTCTTATTTACAATAATACAATCAATTACACATACATGTATATTGTGTGTTAATTTCACCCTAACCAAATGGAAAATAGTAGTTTTTAAGATTTTTATGTTGTGGTATATTGAAGCTATATGAGGATATAGGTTTTTTACCTAGCTAATATGTCGGTACATGTGCAAGTAAAATACAATGGTATTTACCTAGCTAATATGTCAGTACATGTGCAATTAAAATACAATGTTATTTACCTAGCTAATATGTCAGTACATGTGCAAGTAAAATACAATGTTATTTACATAGCTATTATGTCGGTACATGTGCAAGTAAAATACAATGTTATTTACCTAGCTAATATGTCGTCATATGTGCAAGTAATACACAATGTTATTTACCTAGCTAATATATCGGTACATGTGCAAGTAAAATACAATGTTATTTACCTAGCTAATATGTCGGTACATGTGCAAGTAATACACAATGTTATTTACCTAGCTAATATATCGGTACATGTGCAATTAAAATACAATGTTATTTACCTAGCTAATATGTCGGTACATGTGCAAGTAATATACAATGCAGATAACGACGGGGCAGTAAACAAGCCAAATTATTGTGAGTGTAATAGGAGGAAGAGAAATGCACGGCTAGACATAGATTCAAACTTCGGACCCTCCAAACTCTAGACAGACGCTCTACCAATTGAGCTACCTGGTCACTGACTATCAACACAGTCCAGTTCCACTACATGATTAATCCAGCATCTTTTATTCTGCCCAGCCAATAATCTAGTCAGCCAGCATCACTTATACTGCCCAGCCAATAGTCTAGTCATCCAGCATCACTTATACTGCCCAGCCAATAGTCTAGTGAGCCAGCATCACTTATACTGCCCAGCCAAGAGTCTAGTCAGCCAGCATCACTTATCCTCCCCAGCCAATAGTCTAGTCAGTCAGCATCACTTATACTGCCCAGCCAATAGTCTAGTCAGCCAGCATCACTTATGCTGTCAACATCATTTACTCTACCCAACCAACATCCTACTTTTTCTTACCCTGGACAGGTGTATCCACACTTTTACCGGTGTGAGATTACCTTGTCTCACCCTAGGGTTGAGAGGGGGGATTCCCCTATTCATAACAATGGTATGACGTCACTTAAACAATACAGTGACGTCATGTCAACAATCCATCAACGCTAAATCAACCCTGAATTTAGCATGTAACGTTATCATTACATTCAATGATTTTGTATATGATACACATTGGGAGAAAAGGGTAAGGGAAAAAGAATCATTCACCCCCTTGTGGGTAAGATAGGGGAATCTCAACCCTTTGGGAAAGGTTCTTAAGTTGCCAAACACTCGGCAAAGCCTAGTGTTTGGCAACATAAGAATCTTCCCCCTAGGGTCGGGTTGAGATTCCCCTATCTCACCCCTAAGGGGATGAGAGATTCTATTATTCTCTATGGAGACACCATGAATTGTCCTAGTACTCAATTGTCCTACCTTTGTCCTTGGCATCCTTTCCCTTGTCCTTGCCTCCATCCTTGCCAGACTTGGAATCTGCCTTCTCTGTCTTGCCCTCCTTGCTGGCAGACTCTTTTTCTGACTTGTCATCCTTAGCTGTTTCCTAAAAAGCACAACATTGTTGCTTATCACAAACTTGCTGTAAACACATATACTAAAAAACATTTCTTCCTTGGTATATATATTTCAGAATTGTATATTTAACACTCTAAGACATAAAATGCTTTTGAAATATTCAGTGAGCCTTTCAATCAAAACAACAAGGTTATTTTTTTTCAGGAAGACAAATAAGACCATGAAACATTGTGTTAAAACAAGATTTTTAAGCAGAACAATTGACAGAAGATGAATTATCTATGGAGGAAGCAATATATATAAATGACGAGGACACCAAATACCAGATTGATCAGGTAATAAGCCCTTCCATATCTATTGCAATTCAGTAGAAATGCCAACAGATGCCATTTCATTGTCCTGTAATAAGCCCAATTTTACACATTGAGTCTGAAAATATGTGTTGAACCTCTGGGCTTACTGAACGACATATACTGTAAAGGTATAAACTGACCATGTCTTACAGGACATATATTGTAAAGGTATAAACTGACCATGTCTAACAGGATATATATTGTAAAGGTATAAACTGGCCATGTCTTACAGGATATATATTGTAAAGGTATAAACTGACCATGTCTAACAGGATATATTCTGTAAAGATATAAACTGGCCATGCCTTACAAGACATATACTGTAAGGTATAAACTGACCATGCCTTACAAGACATATACTGTAAGGTATAAACTGACCATGCCTTACAAGACATATACTGTAAGGTATAAACTGACCATGCCTTACAAGACATATACTGTAAGGTATAAACTGACCATGCCTTACAAGACATATACTGTAAGGTATAAACTGACCATGCCTTACAAGACATATACTGTAAGGTATAAACTGACCATGCCTTACAAGACATATACTGTAAAGGTATAAACTGGCCATGTCTTACAGGACATATACTGTAAACGTATAAACTGGCCATGTCTTACAGGATATATACTGTAAAGGTATAAACTGGCCATGTCTTACATGACATATACTGTAAACGTATAAACTGGCCATGCCCTAGCTTGTTTTCTACAGATAACAACATACCGATGGAGCAGACTCTTCCTTCTTCTCAGCCTCCTGTTGCTCCAGTAAGGCTTTTTCCCATTCCTGGAGGGGAAGTTTCCACTCGGGGAGGGAACCCTTCAACAGGTCCCACACTTCATTTATATGACCGTACCTACAAGGGGCAAATCAACAGTCAACAATACTTATGAGTTATCATGGCACCATACTTCAGCTGGAGTTCACACCATACATAGACCACTTGTAACATCAGCTGGTCATAGGGTGACTTGGTTACTCATGCAGTTATCAAGATTAATTTACATTTTGTCTTTTAAGCCAATTCTAGATGAGAGTAGTTTGGTTAAACACATTCTGTGAGGTTGGGTTTACATACAAATACAGTAAGTAAAACAAGTTCTTATATTATTTAAAGTGATCAAAATTACTGAAATATTGAAATCTTGAGACTAAGGTTAGAATTTTATTATGTTACAATGAGATTATTGTTCACAACACACATAAATATTGGAATCAACATGCTTGTTATTCACAACAACAAAGACAATATAAGAGAAATAATCAGATTAAGACAGTACTTGAGATTTCACTACTATCAATTAATGGTTTTAATAGGCACTATAAAATATCAATGTGAGCACCACATCTGGAATGTTTCCATCAATTTGTGTTGTTTAACCTTTGAACAAATGTCCCTGAATTTGATTCACAATAAACAGTATGACAAGTAAAACTCTGTGTTACACATTAAATCTGTTGTTAGATATTTCAGGTATTTATATGTGGATTTGTAACTTTAACAGCACATATTACAAAGATAACAAGTAAGTCAGGCCAACAACAGAGCAGTCAAAAAGATAAGTAAGTCAGGCCAACAACAGAACAGTCAAAAAGATAAGTAAGTCAGGCCAACAACAGAACAGTCAAAAAGATAAGTAAGTCAGGCCAACAACAGAGCAGTCAAAAAGATAAGTAAGTCAGGCCAACAACAGAGCAGTCAAAAAGATAAGTAAGTCAGGCCAACAACAGAGCAGTCAAAAAGATAAGTAAGTCAGGCCAACAACAGAGCAGTCAAAAAGATAAGTAAGTCAGGCCAACAACAGAGCAGTCAAAAAGATAAGTAAGTCAGGCCAACAACAGAGCAGTCAAAAAGATAAGTAAGTCAGGCCAACAACAGAGCAGTCAAAAAGATAAGTAAGTCAGGCCAACAACAGAGCAGTCAAAAAGATAAGTAAGTCAGGCCAACAACAGAGCAGTCAAAAAGATAAGTAAGTCAGGCCAACAACAGAGCAGTCAAAAAGATAAGTAAGTCAGGCCAACAACAGAGCAGTCAAAAAGATAAGTAAGTCAGGCCAACAACAGAGCAGTCAAAAAGATAAGTAAGTCAGGCCAACAACAGAGCAGTCAAAAAGATAAGTAAGTCAGGCCAACAACAGAGCAGTCAAAAAGATAAGTAAGTCAGGCCAACAACAGAGCAGTCAAAAAGATAAGTAAGTCAGGCCAACAACAGAGCAGTCAAAAAGATAAGTAAGTCAGGCCAACAACAGAGCAGTCAAAAAGATAAGTAAGTCAGGCCAACAACAGAGCAGTCAAAAAGATAAGTAAGTCAGGCCAACAACAGAGCAGTCAAAAAGATAAGTAAGTCAGGCCAACAACAGAGCAGTCAAAAAGATAAGTAAGTCAGGCCAACAACAGAGCAGTCAAAAAGATAAGTAAGTCAGGCCAACAACAGAGCAGTCAAAAAGATAAGTAAGTCAGGCCAACAACAGAGCAGTCAAAAAGATAAGTAAGTCAGGCCAACAACAGAGCAGTCAAAAAGATAAGTAAGTCAGGCCAACAACAGAGCAGTCAAAAAGATAAGTAAGTCAGGCCAACAACAGAGCAGTCAAAAAGATAAGTAAGTCAGGCCAACAACAGAGCAGTCAAAAAGATAAGTAAGTCAGGCCAACAACAGAGCAGTCAAAAAGATTAGTAAGTCGGGCCAACAACAGAGCAGTCAAAAAGATTAGTAAGTCAGGCCAACAACAGAACAGTCAAAAAGATTAGTAAGTCAGGCCAACAACAGAGCAGTCAAAAAGCATCAGCCAAACCTATAACATTCATTATATTTGTGTTAATAATCTATATTTAGTCTATTGATTTTGTGGTTAAAAACAATAATTATGATTATGCCAATTTCAGTCAATGACTAACTGTCCACATCATTACATATTTCAGCTGCAAAAAATGCACATGTATCCTGTACAAAACACTACCACCACAAATAGGCGTCACACCAAATAGCCCACACTACACGCCTGGCTAGACACACGCTACTCCAATCAGATCCTTGCCTGAGATCATGTGAGGCGGACTTTGAGCTCTTTACTCTAGGAGCTGTTGTACTCCCTTCCTGAGAGCGTGGCGTGGAGCTTAGCTGGAAATATTTATCAAGCACCTGGCTAGCAGACACTAACGGCGAGGCGCGGCCTGCCCCCGGAGGGTTGACGGGAGGAGGGAGGGGTGTGGCCAGGAAACCCCTGTGTGAGTAGACGAGTGGTCAGCATGCAAGAAAACACAAATGCAGACCACACAAGCCAACGAGGCTCTGGTCAGCTGTGACAAGCAAAATCATAGAGTGCTGGTTAATGATGGAGAAACAATAGATAGACTGGGACCACGGCTGCACAACTCAATATTACCTTATAATTACTGTGATAATCTTAGTGTAATGACTTCATAACCAAATACTGTGATTATCTTATAGTTAATTAGTGTGATATCCCTACAACTAATTACTGCAATAAACAATTACTGTGATAGCATTATCAATAATTTATGTGTAACCACAGAACTATACCCAATTACTATGACAACCTCATCACTAATATAAGTGATATTGTAGCTAATTACAGTGATAACCCAATAACAAATTACAATCACAACTTCATCATTTATTTCTATGATAACCTGTTAACTAATTTCTGAGTGAACTCATCATTAAATACTGTGCTAAACTCATTAAATAATTGCTAGAATGTGAAAATCACTGAACTAATTACTCTGTGTAAAATGTCATCATTTCCCACTAAAACTCCAGATCTTTGCATTTATAATGAAATTAAAACCTATTACTGTATCAAGCTGAAACTAATTATTTACTATGTACCTTCACACTGAGAACAATCAGTGATGTATTAATACTGTTTGTGTTATACAGAGCTACTTACATTTTTACAGAACTATAGAATTTGTCTGATAGCCTAAGTTATATTGCAAAGATTGCCCTTCCTAATATTAATTACTCCAAGTACCTGATTTTGTGAGACATCACGTGTATGTTTTTTAATCCATGCATCTATGATCAGGTTATCAATTAATATGACCTAATAATACCTTATCTTTAATTCTAAATTGTAGAATAATGAAATTTATCATACATTTGTACATATTCCTGAAATGGTTTGTTTAGCATTTGCAATACTGCTTGCTGTGCACAGACCATATCCTGTATGGACCCATATCCTGTATGGACCCATATTCTGTATGGACCCATATCCTGTATGGACCCATATCCTGTATGGACCCATATCCACCAAGCACACTATATATCTGTTTTACCTCTGGTTTAACACATTTCAAAAAAATCATGCCTTTAATTTTACTGGATTTTGTTATTCACTGATAATTTTGACGTACTAAAATATCTACTGTGTGTATAACATGAAAAAAAAGGTTATGAAATTACCATTCCATATACTACCCTGTATCAAACCTCGGGCCTCCAGCTCGTCAGACTGATATGGAAGTCCGGATTGATAGAGAGGAAATATGGAAATGGTCATATAAAAACATCTAAATGTTTAATTTACACTGACCAGTACAAGTGACCAGTACAAAGTTAGCAGCCGTGGCCCAGCAAGCCTCAACAAACTGAAGCTGACCAACATTAGTGAAGAGGATATTAATGTTCTGGACACAAACATGTAATATAGGTATGATATATATATATAGGAGACAGACACCACAACACTAAAGTGTATATCAACATCTATATAATAGTCAAGCCTTGCTCTTACATATAGCATAATAACATCTATTTCAAAAACATTAACATATATAATCATTGGAAAACAAAAAGGTTAAAACCATTGCTGAGGTGATGTTAATAATTAAATTCAAGAAAATTTTGAAATTATTTTTGCAGACTGAAAAAAATAGATTTAGCTGTATTTGAATTGTTATTTGAAGAATAGTGAGGTAGTATGGCCATACAGCTGTGTCCCCTGTATTACTCACGCTCTGGGCGCAATGTCAGCTATATTGATATAAGTGGTCCCATATGATAGTACATTTAAAATAGGAGAACCAAGCCTCAGGACTAGCAAATTGCAGGTATAGATAAATCAGCATAGCTCCCTGTGGCTCGACAAAATCTTGAACGGAGTTACATTTTCCTATATTCATGTCATAATTGTATGAAAAATTATGTTTTCAAGGACATTTCCAGTAGCATACGGCCATTGGAAACTCACACATAAGAGTATATTTCATAAAATTGAATTTTCTCCAAATAGATATAAAGCTTTGAATTTTCTTTTAATCATAATATGATTTAAATATTGACAGTAACATCTAATTTTCTATGTTGAGACAAGCTGTATGTCCATCCCAGGAAAAAAACACTAATCACCCAGGGTATCTGTGTATAAATTACACACTCGGCCAGTGAAACTATACATCCTCCACAGAGAGGCTAGGAACTTACTGGAGTGGGATGGATTCCGGTATCCAGCCCGTCAGACACTGGATAATGCTACAGTCCCCAAACTCACTGCTTGGACTGCCTCCTGTGTAACTGTGGGCACAGAAACAACAGTACAACAACAGAAAATATAAGTAAACATTATGTATAAGTATCATTTATGTATAACTGTTGTCAATTAATCACCAATTCATATTACCATTGATAACACATATTATGTATGTTTAGTGGAAGGAAGGTTCATGTTGATGTAAGTTTATAGCAATTATCCTTATGGCTATATCATCACACATTTACACTATTGATTCCATATAAAACTAAGTTATGAGGTGGTGATTTAACAGATGTGATACCTCCACAGCCTTAAGCTTACTTCTGTAACAAAAGCCAGGTCATTAAAATCAGACGTTTCTTTTTAAGATAGTCTAATCATTAAAAGCTGGGTACATACTCGAGTGAGGCCACCTTGATGAGGGCCTTTGTAAGCAGTAAAGGCCAGAGTTCATGTTGGTTTGTCGTGGCCGGTAGCAGCAGGTTCTCGTTTTCATCCACAGGTATCTGATCATCTATAAGGATCTTCCTCCACACACCCTGATAAAGTCATGCCTGTGTTATTATCATCTACATTTCATACTGTTAATCAAACATTCTACTTATCACTGGAAGTTACTTAGGAGTAGATAATGCTCAAAATAGCTCTGTTTTACATATCAGGTGTACATAGGGTTTCAAATGCTCATCATGTCAAGTAATAAAAAAAGTTAAATTGTTTTGTTTTTTAAATTAACATGTATCTTAAAGAGTCCTGTAGGTAATACCTTTTAGTGAATCAGTTTATATTACAGCACATTATAGAATAGTCTCTTCATTAATGAATTCCAAAGAATTACTATTTACTGTGAAAGTATGTCAGTTCAGAAATAAGTGTTAAATGTACAAACTGAGATATATTTCAATTAGAACACATAACAACAACCAGTAATTCAGTAAAACAGCCTAGAAATAAATTTAGATCTCAACATGAGACTTTGTAACAGAGCCAAGTTGTTCAAAAGATGATTTGCTAAATTACTGTTTAATGACATTTTCAACCTTTAATAATTTGGTCAGTAAACAAGGTAAAAACTTGTTATTTTACATGTAATTTTACTCGACTTAATATCTAAAGGATGCACAAAAACTAAAATTTGCACTAATCAGGGATTAAGTTAATCACCTTTAAACAACTGAGCCCAGATGATCTTAAGACAATGTAAACCACCGAGGTATAGACTCACCATCCAGTAGAGGCGGACAGCGTATTTGCCGTACGAGTTGTAGGGGGGTATGTGTGGCCCCTTGACCACCTTGTTGACTGCATAGATGTGTTCCCAGGGCCGCCAGGAGTGAGAAATCTCCTCGTACGGTACAGAGGGATCAGCCTGCTCTGAGGGAGCGTTCTGGACCGCACTAGTTTCCCATAAAAACGTGATCTGACTGATGATGAATCGCATCAACTGGAACGGAAACACACAGATGATGGTAGGTGTTGATATATTCAGGTCAAGAAATTCAAATTAATTTAAAACTACATAAAAGTCAAGATCTATAACTGAGAAAAATATAATAAATAATAAGCAATGCCATGACGTTGCACAGATATGAACGTTGGACAAGGTTAACGAAGGTTTAAGACAAATGCAGTACGTATTTATCATCAGCAGATGTCAAATAGGTGAGATACTGCCTCCTCCTGTCAGCATCGGATGTAACACTGAAGTACAACCAATAATCCTAGAGAATTTAAACCAGTTTCTCAGTGAGTGACAGATACTAAATTGAACATGGAGGAACTTATAACTTGATACCTAAGAATGAGATCAGTTTTATATTTAGCTATATTCAAACAAAATCCTGACGATTTTAATTTGAATGCAAAACTAATTGCATTGGAGAAATGCTTTGAAGAGTGTCTCCAGTCTGTAAAGACATTGTCAACATCTTGTCATCTTAAGTTACATAACAACCCAGCCCAGCGGTGCAGTAGATCTCCACAAATCATCCTCACCACCGACTGGTAATACTCTCAACTTAAAACCTTTATATCTAACTGTATGTTCGATCCAATATTTTCTATTGACAGATTAATTTTCCTTTTGACTATATGTGACCTGTTCTGATATGATTTCCAGACAAAAGGATGTTGACATATTGGATGTAGAAGTTAGCTGACATTTACTACATAATCTAGATATTGATTTCTAACAAATTATCTTGGTGGAGATTGAGAAAATAAAATTATAAGAAACGTTGTGATGTGCAAACAGGACTTGACAAGCACCTGCTAACATTAACAAAGTGGTGAAAACCAAGTTTCACCCGTGACTTGTTATCAGGAGAAAACTGTTGCCATTACTGTCAAATCAAACCAAGTAATGATCAGTGACCAGCAGTGGCAGAGTGTACAGCCCTCACCGACAGACTGATCACCGACAGGCTGATCACCAACAGGCTGATCACTGACAGGCTGATCAATACACAGCCGCCACTACCTGCTGATTAATGGTCATAGAAAATCAATTGCATTCAATTCCTAACAAAATGCTTATTGTAGCTTTTATAATGACAGAATGACCGACAAACTGGTCAGCAAAGCTGTTTATACTGACCGACAAACTTGTCCATTGGTCAAGGTTTACAGTTGTATATTTTACACCTTACAATGACCATACCTATGATACACAGGTACATACACAAACTACCTGGTTACAGGTTCCAAAGCATGCAAACAAAAATTTCAAAACAATGTTTTTCTTCTGAACATGTAAGACATGTTTTATATTTCATATTTATGTTAATTGTTTCAAACTGCTGCACATGAATTGATGCAATTTTTTTATTTTGCATTGTGGAAATGCTCACATCTTTTAACGTTGAGATAATAAGCACAAAATATTGACATGCAAATATTTATTTACAGATATTAAGACATAACATCTAGAGTTCGGAACTGTTGCCAATCTAAATATTTCTACACTGCGATCAGTTGAAAAATCCACAACGTGAACATTTCCATGCACAAGAATTTCCACTTTTACAGTTAAGCTAATTAATCAATTAATGTTTTAGCAAATGTTGTAACGGTCCTATAACACACATTGCTATTGATGACAAACTTAATAAAGCCCGGTGTCAAAAGGAAATGAGTATGATCCCACAGTATTGATATTTTGTATGGACCTATTGCTGTGACTATCTTCACGTTTATAGTACATTATAAGTTTTACTGTACACTTCCTGCGAGAAATTGTCTCTGAAAGAACCATTTCTTTAACACTGCTATCAGCTAAACAGCCAACAGAGTTGTAAGTAGCAGCAATCATGTTAGCAGTTGTTTGGTGAAATCTGGTCAGGTCTCGCAATCATTTACATTGCTTAAGTTGTCATTTGTGATTACTCCAGAACTTATCTTATAACAAATATACAACATCATAATCAACACCGCTATACCATCACCATCAATATATTTCAGACCAAATTTACCAACATCATTGTTCTAATGATAGCTGTGTTGGACATCCAGATTTCTAATAAGTTGATGCAAGTCAGCAAAGCTGTTTAATACCTCAGATGACAGCTTCTCCACTATACTGACCCGCTGACCCAAAACACCTAGACATCCATTTAAATGTTTTTACAATCTATTTCTCAGCAGGAGCAAATCTCTACCCACTGAAAGTCGTCATGTAGGTTGCACAGCATCACAGAGTATTAAGTGTAACAAGGGAAGAGGCTTATCTTATTGAGCATCCCCCATGTAGTATCTACCACCATGTAGTATCTACCCATAATACCCAAGTGTCTAAGACGAGGTAATAGTCAGTTTTCTTAATTAGCATGCCTAGTGCCCAGTGGACATGGTCTGATGCTATTGTGGTCAAGAGATGATTTGAAACTGAGAGATAAATCTACCCCTAATGTTCTAAGCTTTTGTTCTCTGAAGTAAGCTAAGCTTCTCTTTTGAAAGCTCCAGACAAACAAGAGGGCGACCACCATCTGGCCTTTGTCCTAGCCAGATTTCCCTTGATAAGTGGCTTGTTGTCCTTCAACTGACTAAGCTTTGTTTCTCTCAGGGGGAGATACAGACATCCCTTGTTCAGGTGTTAATAAGTAAAGCAGATTAGGATACAAACCTCACTGTGGTGAAGATGTTCGTTAGCCTTGATGAGGTCAAATTCTCCTAGGCAGTCCTGATCCACCACCACTGGTGTCTGTAACAACGAGGACAGTGGTCAGTGGTTATAACACCTGGACAGGTGAGGACAATCCAAACAAGTACATAAAGCATGAACACTCATCTCAGTCAGTTAAAAGTTAGAAACTGTTTTAGTGATTTAATGGATAATTTGCAAATGGTCACAATCTTTCACGAAAGTATTCCCTTGTGAAATGGCTGTTACAATAAAATATTTCTTTCTTTTAAAATATGATAAGCTAAAATTTATCTAAAAATATATCAACTAGCAGAAAAAGGTTTGTTACCTTTTCTGTGATGTAGTCACATGGCCGTTTCCAGTAGTGGGTCTTGAGGGAAGGTGGCATGTCGATTCGGCCATCTGGGTCCTCGTACAGATGTGTTGCCTGGCAACATATCATTAAAAGTAATAAACTAGTGTCCACATCACAAATCATTTAAGGGACCTTACATTAAACCATGTAGGTATAAAATCTACCACTCTCTGTCGTCACTATGATCAATAAATATTGGATGGTGAGAACCCTTATAACCATACTGTTGGCTGTGAGGTATAGAAAAAAATCTTGAAAACATTAATAAATGACGATAAAAGCATATGACAACCTATAATGCCCCATTGTTTAAAAAAAACATAAACAAAAATTCTGTAACTCATGATATGACAACAATTTGTGTTCTATCAAGGAATGTAATTCTTCCATTAGATATCCAATGATCATTCGACACATTTTTGAACATGCAATCACCTCCAAAAAGTTCTGTTCCCATGACGTACACTTACCATCACTTTAATTCTCCACAATATAATTTATTATATAAAGTTCATGTCTTTTTAAACTATGTTTAGACTTAGGAAAATAAAAATCTTCTGAAATCAACGTTTGTAACAATTATAACTAATATTTAACATTTCTATTTCTATAAAGACTATGAAGCACTTATTTTTATGTTTATAAGTTTGTTATGGCTGAATGGTGATGAACTTACAGATGGATGTTACATACAGCCACTAGTACTTACCACGGGGGATTTCCCCTTGTCCTTGACTAGTACTTACCACAGGGGATTTCCCATTGTCCTTGGTTACATACAGCCGCTAGTACTTACCACGGGGGATTTCCCCTTGTCCTTGGTTATATACAGCCGCTAGTACTTACCACGGGGGATTTCCCCTTGTCCTTCGTTACATACAGCCACTAGTACTTACCACGGGGGATTTCCCCTTGTCCTTGGTTACATGCAGCCACTAGTACTTACCACGTGGGATTTCCTCTTGTCCTTGACTAATACTTACCACGAGGGACTTCCCCTTGTCCTTGACTAGTACTTACCGTGGGGGGTTTCCCCTTGTCCTTGACTAGTACTTAGCACGGGGGATTTCCCCTTGTCCTTGACTATTACTTACCACGGGGGATTTCCCCTTGTCCTTGACTAGTACTTACCACGGGGGATTTCCCCTTATCCTTGGCTCCTCCTTTGTGGGCGACATCCTGTTGTAACAGAAGGGATTGAAAGTCAGCTAGTAGCCATTGTTACCATTTCTGATAGAGATTGAGAGATCCAGCAGACAGATATCAATCTTATTTGTTTGCCTGGACTGATTGTGTGTTTAATATTTTATATGAAATCCTCCTCACTTCCATCAATTGAATTAAATATGCCATGGACATCAATTAAAATTTGGATTCTTAACTTCTTTGGTGTAACTGAAAGGCCTGAAAAATGGCATATTTGATAACCAATGACAATACTGCTACAAAACATTGAGGCATTGATTTACACCACGATGAGCTGCCACCAGGTAGCTTTCCACCTATACTCTGTTCAATATCGGACTCCTAAGGCAATCTTTCAGCAGAGAAAATTATTGCTTTTTGCATAAAAAGAATGTGATCTTTTATTTGCCAGAAGCAAATGTAATTTTCCACAAGCTGTTTCAAAACGACCATGCAGTAAGTGCAATTATTACAATAACCAAACATCCCAGCTCATTATAACCAAATTCAGTCATTTTCCATCACCTTATCACCAAATCTAGACATACAATATTACCAGCCCTTCCCCAACTCCACACTTTATATAATTACCAACCTCTCACCCTCTATCTACATATTATCATTATTTCTATTATTATGTAATTACTCACCCATTTTTCTGCATTTACATCAGCTTCACTCCATTCTGGCCAGATGACCAGTTTGGGTCGTTTGGAGTCTGCCCCGCCAGCACTAGCGGCTATGGATGCAGCCCTGAAATCACACAAGGAAATATACCATCATTAACATGCAAAAAAACATATAATTGCTATAAATCAAATAAAATTCTTGTCAACTGATCATGATTATACCGGGTAATGATCTTCTGTTTCATCTAAATACCCAAACAGATACAAGGTATACAAAATGTACACCACATAAACGGTTGTTAATTGAAATCCACCTGCGTAGTATAAACTGCATTCATTTGTATGACATGTATATATATATTCAATTGGAATTTCGTTAGGCCTGGGACAACAACTACGGAGTACTTCTCTCAATAATAGCAACCTTTAATGTTCAACATTACTGAAATAAAATGAATTCATTTTCCATTGTCAATACATGTAAATATAGACATAATAGTATAAAAAGGAAATGATTATTTCAGTACCAGAATGTTTCATTTTAGTCTTTAGATAAGTGCAAAATGTACTTAACATATAAATGTAAAATATGTCTTTTATGAAATTATATGGAACTTAAATGAATAATAAAAATATCTAAAGCACATATCGATAAACTAATGTTTTATCAGTAACATAAATACCGACATCAGAACCGTTAATATGTTCCCCTGTATTCTCTAGTTAACTCAATGATTCAGTCACACAGGAATCAAGAAGAAATCAAAACCACTTTCATCGTAAATCAGATAAAAGCCGATACAAAACACATGTAGTCACTGATAGCAGAGCTTAATATTCCTGATATCATCAAACAAATGTTACCTGTCCCCCTGTAGACACATGTTGGTCACAGAGCTCACAGCAACCCGCCATGTCACATGTCACACACCCAGGTAACAACCCTACCTACAGATCCACAACTCAACAGCTACATCAATTCTTACCAAATATTCAAGCATTTTGAATGTATGACAAAGTGTATTGTTTGCAGGTAAATGTTGGTCTGTGGAGTCGACCAGCTGGATCAGGGTGTACTGTGCCTAGAGCATACCTGGCTACAAGGTATCCATAAATCAATAACCCCCACAGTGATAAGCCTGGCCACGCAGATTCATTGTTCCCAGAGCAGAATAATTATCAGTGTGATGCTGGAAAATTGCTGCAGTCATATGGCTCTGGGTAAATCTACCCATCGCTCTCCCCCAGTACAGTGGTTCTCTCTGGTGGAAGCTGACAATTTCAAACCTCTATGCTTCACTGGTCAGGTGGAACACAATTATTTCAGGAGCAGCCATAGCATAATATCATCTGACTTTTAAATAATTCACAGACAATTAAAAATCAATATTATCATCAACACAAGTTTTACCTGTAAGGACCCCTAGCTAGCACTGTTACAATAAATTGATTTAAGTATTATCAGCTAATCTTTATAATAATATATGTATAGATTTTTACAGCTTTTTGACACACGATGGTTTTTATTGCTGAAGGGATAAGAAAATAAAAACAAATAAAAATCAAATAAATATTGATATAGCATGCAGTTATAATGTCAATGACATATCAAACTAGAACCATTATGTAGTATCCATTCAATAAATAAATAGTTCTGATGAAACTAGTTGTTAAGTGGTAGCCATGGAACTAACAAATAGTTCTGAGGAAACTAGAGCAATTGTACTAAGTATCCATCCAATTAATAAAAAGTTCCAAAGCAACTTATGTTAAGTATCAAGAATGTAACGGTGATAATGAGAGACTGTGATTTTGTACCTGGATACTTGACCAATGGCTAGGCTCCTGTGGACAGAGAAGTCCATCATGGACAGCTGGTCTTCAATCACACCCAAGTATATCAGTGACCACAAGCAGATGGTGATGTGACCAATACCATATAAGGCAGGACAGAATAGGTGTCATACCTGGTAGTGGTTCCGTTGGGTACCTTACATCTGCCCCGATACTCAACAGGTCATAAACCTGGTGGTGAATTATGTTAACAACCCAGCTAGCGCTATAGTCACTGTGTTACCATGCCACCTGTCCAGGTAGTGGACAACAAGCCTCATAACACGGCCTCCTACTGTCATGTCAGTCCACCAAGGTGAATGGAAAACACACTTCACACACAAAGTTCTGTAGAATAATTCATGTCTACACCATAAAGGACAATTCTCATAGCTAGAAAGAGAAATTAAACAAAGGAACATCCCAAAGTCTCCACAATGACTAGTATGTATATGAAGTCGTATATGTCTGTGAACAGGTAATGTTCTATGAAAACTTAATGCTGGAAGTGGTGTTAATAAAAGCAACGATGTTGGCTACTTCCACACTGACGTTATTTGATGTACCTGAGTTTTTCAATTGTTTTCTTTAGTCAGAATACTTACTGCAACCTTAACCTTAATGATATATACACAGAGGGAGCATCACAGGATTGGAACCAAGAGTAAGTACTCTAGCTGTTAGCAACACTACTAATGATGACTGGTACAGAGGAGAGGAGTCTAAACAGTGTACAGTACTGCCAGGACACATGGTAAGTGTCAGGTACCAGAGTAGAGGAATCTAAATTGTACAGTACTGCCTGGACACATGGTAAGTGTCAGGTACCAGAGTAGAGGAATCTAAACAGTGTACAGTACTGCCTGGACATATAGTAAGTGTCAGGTACCAGAGTAGAGGAATCTTAACAGTGTACAGTACTACCTGGATACAAGGTAAATGTCAGGTACCAGAGTAGAAGAATCTAAATAATGTACAGTACTGCCTGTGTCAGGTCCCAGAGGAGAGGAATTTAAACAGGTACAGTACTGCCTGGACATATGGTAAGTGTCAGGTCCCAGAGTAGAGGAATCTAAACAGTGTACAGTACTGCCTGGACATATGGTAAGTGCCAGGTACCAAAGGACAGGAATCTAAACAGTGTACAGTACTGCCTGGACAAATGGTAAGTGTCAGGTCCCAGAGGACATGAATCTAAACAGTGTACAGTACTGCCTGGACACATAGTAAGTGTCAAGTACCAGAGTAGAAGAATCTAAACAGTGTACAGTACTGCCTGGACACATGGTAAGTGTCAGGTACCAGAGTAGAGGAATCTGAACAGTGTACAGTACTGCCTGGACACATGGTAAGTGTCAAGTACCAGAGTAGAGGAATCTGAACAGTGTACAGTACTGCCTGGCCACATGGTAAGTGTCAGGTACCAGATGATAGAATACAAACTATAAGGTTTTCCCCGGACAATTATCTGGTATGGCAGAAATTGTATGTTACAATGATCAGTGTTGTTGGTTACTTTTATGCATCAATGTTTCTGGGTCATCAGGAATAGTCCAATAACCCAGGATTGGTTGACAGCAGTTCAGAGTCGAACTTATTCATAACTTTTTTTTGTAAACTAATAGTTAAATGCTTATGTTCTTCTCTCATTTAAAATGATAAATTCTCTCATTCAAATGAAGACAAACAGAAAATTAACATCAGAAGCAACCTTCAGTTTGTTAACTCGGTTGTAATAAGCTTCATTTTTTTTTTTTTAAACAATCTTTATTTTTCAATATGCATGACGACAGGGTTTGGTAATGAGCAAGCTGCCGTCTGTACCAGGACAAGGAGTCAAATCAGCAAATCCTACATGTTTTAATAAGAGGACAGTACTGTCTACTTTGTGAATCAAGATCAACATCAAGAAAATGTTCAAGTGGAAAAGAAACAGGACCCTTTGTCGGGAGGTTGTAGGTGACAAATTCAGATTGTTAATCAATTTCCTCTCATAATATACAGTATACAAAATTTAACAAAACAAACAAGCAATACAGATCTAACTAAAATAAAATGTAGCACATATATGCACACTTTACAGCCATGGTACTGCCAACTTCCTCTGTATCAATGCCAATATTAATACTGCGCATACAATTATATTATATACCAGTCAAATATACAATTATGTGTGCAATTATTAAACACATCTATTTGAAACTGAAAATGTGGGGATTTTTTATTATAAAAATTGAAACTAAACTTGTAACACAGTGACAGACTTCTCTTGTGAAGATTATGTGCATCCCCCCACACACACACTCAAATGTGGAGAAAACACTGAATATCATGGCGCAAACATGGCTACTTCTCCAGTTTGTACAAAGACATTGAATACCGGTTACATACATAAACATTAGTGATCAATGGCCGCCACATTCTAAAGCCTCCCACACCACATCAATAAGTTATGTATTAATCTATTTCAATCAAAATTTGAATGATCTGTGAGTAAGCTACATGTAATTGTACAAATCACCATCATACATGATGTTTTTGTTACAAAAATTTGTGAGACCCTAGCTTTTTATCAACGATCAAAGATTATGATTACAGTAAGCAAGATATGTTTTGATCACATACAAGTATGATAATAACTGAAGTGAAATTTTGTATGAAATAGTGCCCAATCAAATGATGGATGATTTCATACATCTCAGGGGTTAGTCCGAATTATTCTGACATTTTATCGACTTTTTTTATATAGGTCTGTCGTCGATTAATCGAGGACAGACCGATATAAAAAAGTCGATAAAACGTCAGAATAATTCGGACTACTCAGGGGTGAACAATTCCACTCACCCAGGGCTAGTAGACTTTATGTCAGTAGATCTGGAGTTATAGGGATAAAAAAAAATTAAATACAGGCCTATAGGGGTCTAATAATCTTCCAACTGCAAGTCTCATAAGAAGACAGTGGGGCTAGGCAAACTTTTTCTGTGAAAATAGAGGTTGGCTTGGTAAAACAAATATTTTTTGGGAATTGTACACCCATGCATGGAAAAGTTGTTGAAGGATGTTGGACGAAGCATATTATTATTTATATCACCTTACACATTTCATCTTTAGCCTACAAATCTTCATAATCTGAGCAGGAGACTTACCGTAATTAGTAAACATTATATATAAATATGTATATATCGATATGAATATATCTGATATAGACTTTACACAAGATATATGATTAGAATAATATGGGTAGGTAGAATACAGCAGTGAGCACCATCTGTAAAAGTCCAACACTCATAA